AATGCTGATTAAATAATAATAATACATAATGAGGCTTAAAAATATATTAGTAACCAATAAAGAATTGTAAAATTAAATAACTAATTAGATAAACAATGAACAACCAAACATTAACTATAATCATTACTTAATTAAATATAATTTGAAAAAAATGCAAAAATACTTATGCTCGAAATCATTATTTCCTCATTCTTTTCAGCTGATAATTACTTCAATACAACTGGCACATCAATTTGACTGCAAATCAAGTTGCTTACACGCATCATGCTTGTACCGAAAATGAAAAACTGTAGTTGATCTTTTGTATTATATTTTTGTCATTCAACTATTTTCATGAATCCATCACCAAATACCAATGTTTTATATGATTTTAAACTTTATGATTATTTTTGTTTCCATAAATACGTTTAGAAATATACAAAAACTAATAAGTGAAAATACATCTAAAATAGCGATTAGAAATTAAACAACCATCAAAACTTACCTTGAGAATTCAAGCAACCAATATACCTCTGCGATTCGATATTGCTACTCCCGCACGATTTACTTGTCTATATTACTACAATTTTTATTTTCTGTCTCCTTGTTTCTTTTTTTTCCATCCTGAAATCTTAAAATTATGAGAAACTTAAATAACAATCTAGTGCAATCGTAATCTCATTCATTTACAAAATGTTATGCATCCCCAGCTACTATTCAAATGCTGTAAAAACTTTCTGTGTACAAATTATTTTGTTGTGAAATATTCAGTGTGTAAAAACACATTGAAACGAACTTGACCGCAATCTGGGTATGATTTATAAGAAATCGTAATACAGACAACAGCTGAATTTGTAGTATGTCATAGGAATAAGTTGGTATTCGATAGAAGCTTTTTAGTGTACTGTCAGTAACGACATACAAATGCAAATTCGATTATATTTTTATCTTCAATGCATACAATAAGATATTCAGAAATAGTTACACATCACAAATGAATAAATGAACAAGTAGATAAATAAATAGATAAATGAATAAGTATATAATGAAAAGCATGGGTAGAATACATGTATAAAAATGATTTTAAGGCAACTGGAAAAAACTTCCTATTTATGATACAAAAAGCTAATTCCCGACAAAATATTTCCACGAAAAAATATGAAAAAAGAAAGAGCGATGATTGATATATTTAGGAAAAAATCTATTTTGAAAAATTCCTTTGGAACATTTCAGCAATTTTAAGAAACTTTGCTTTAAATGTAAGAAATGAAAATTTAGTAAATATAGCTGTTCCACGTTTCATGTTCTTTAAATATTCATTAGTCAATACTTATCAAGTATTATTATTACAAAAATCCTTGCTTGGTTTCTTTAAGTTATTATATTATACCTACACTGCAGTTAAAAAATGCTCATCTGAACTTCTAATATAATGATTAAAAACAGATTTACGGTATAAGATAATCTATTAAGCTCGAATTATAATTATATCTCAAATGATTTAAAATTTTAAGAGCCTGTGGGATGAAGAACATGGTAATTTATGAGTAAACAGCTTCATAAATTGCTTTTAACCATATGGACACAGCAATAGCACCTGCATCGGGTTCTTTCTGCACCGATGCAGAAGTATAACTTGCGCGACCAACTTGTGCACGCATGATACTGGTTGCCTTCGCACTCTCTTCTGCTTCCTGCAAAAAGATCAGTGATGAAAAAAAGTTTACTATTTTTCCATAACTGGACAATTTTTTTTCTTCACAAATTTTGACAATTTTTCAAAAGCAGGAGAGCACAGTTCTGATGAAAAATGAATCTGAATAATCAATTTTAAAACTTTCAGCTAATTTTAGTTAATTCAAATTCACGCTATTCATACTAATAGCACGATATAATCTCTTGAAAGTAACTCACAGTTAATGAAATTAAATTAAAAGTAGAGGTAATATGAAATTTCATGCAGCAAAACAATATAACGAAAAATTTCATAAAATTTCTGGGTCAACGTTTAATAAATCTTATGACTGATCCAGAAAGTAACGATTTTGAAATGATCAATATTAAAATTATAAACATATGAATTCATCACACCTTGACAGCATTTTCCCAATCAGCTCTTTCTGGAGTATCACTAGATATCGATGTTACAGCAGCATTTAAAGGATCTACCTGTAAATATCAATCGCAATGAATAAAAATTAAAAAAATTTTACACGATTCAATTTTTTTAACAAATTATTCGAAACACTGTAAAAAGCAGTTTCTGGTCTCGCGTTTACCATTTGCTTAATATTTGGAATTAATGAAATTTTTGAAGACAACACTGAAAAATTTAGATTTATAATAATAGATTAGTTTAAGATTAGTCCAATTTTAATGCTCAGATCACCCAGCAATAATCTCCATCTCAATTATATTTTCAAAGTCAGGAAGATTTCTTATATTGTCTTATATTTTTTTAATATATTTTTTATTTTTAGATATAACTAACTTTAAATACTTTCATAATGTCTAGTTCTGAATCATAATGTGACTGAATTCATGATGGCATTCTCCAAATTAAGATGAGAAACTAACCATCGATCTGTGACCTGGCTTTGCTTGTCCATATTTCATGATAGTTTCGAGGCCATTCCTCAGTGCTAAGTACCATTCTTTCGTAGTTGCATACCTGCTAAAGGATTGAGCAGCGGAACTGAACATAAGCGCATAGAGCTGAATTGGAAAAGTGGAGATCATTATATCGTAATTAACATTTTGAAAATTTAATATATTCTTCAACTATTAAACATCAGTAGTCTTTTTATTAAAAAAATAGTTTGTCTAAACTGAAAACAGTATCAGATGCGGTAGATCATGACAACAATCCATCAGTAAAAGCACTTCAACTTCAAAGAATTATATTTGAATACAAAATTTATAAGTTGAAATGCATTTTGTTAAACTATGAATGAATGTTTAGTCTGTGTCTAATCGTGTAGAAAGAGATATAAATGATTTGAATAAATGAAAACATAGAGTGAAAACTTACGGCTCCCGCTGTACCACCTACATCATCTTCAAATATCTGTGAAATTTCGGTAAGTAAAGCTTGCGGTTTGTCACATAAAAGTCTGCCTTCATTTAGACACTTCAAAACTTCTAAAAAATCTACATATAAATGAATTGCAATGTAAATACCTCGACACAAATTTTGTACATTTATTGGATTTTTATCGATATTTTCGAGCATAAGTGAAAACATAACGCGAATAAATGAAAACCTACTATCTGCACCGATTTTTAGAGTGCTTCCACAATCACCATCTCCTGCGCTACCATCTAAGTCATTAAGCTTATCTACAGCTTCTTGAATAGCTAGGCAAGCTTTTTTTACAGCTGCTTCTACACGTTTCGCATTTTCTATAAGTTAGGACAAGATTGAAGTTTGACTAAATTACTATCACTTAAAATTGAATTAATTACAATAATTAATTAAAAACATATGGATAGCACAAAAGTAATTTAGTTATGGTGTCAAAAATATACGATAGCTGAATTATCCACTTTAAAATTTTAATTAAAAACTCAAAAATCTGCAAAACAATACCTTGAGAAAGAGTCGCCCCAGAATGTTGTCCACTATCCTTTCTGCTTTCTGTAGATTTGATTTTGGTGATACTCGATGAAGGTTTTGGTAGGAAGTATTTCATTTTCCATGAAGGTGCTTCTGTTGCAGCATCTTAAATTATTTTAACTTTGTATAAAATTCCCCATCCGAAGAAATAAATAAGACAAAATTTGAAAAGAAATCAACAAAATACCCAAAAGGCGTAACCAATCATCCGAAACCAGCCGCACAATGGTGACACTAATGCCATGACCATCTAATGATGTCATCACAGTCTCTACGTAAAACCGTTCAATTTCATAACCATTTTCATCTTAAATGATTATTTAAATGTTAGAAAGTATAACAATTCAATCACTTAAACAACCTGTTGAAAATATTAAAGAACTAAAGCACACATTTTTCTAGGATTGTACTCGATTTTAAAATATTAGATAATTAATCATTTAAGTTATTTTTTCAGTTCAAAAATCACTCACAAAGCCATGAACAAATTTCTCCTGCGAGAATATTCAGTTCTAATTGGGATGTACCACCTAAATTGTTCAATAGAACAACCAATTTCTCCCCTGAAAAAATTGTGAGAATACTTCATGAAACAGTCCTGATAAAAACAGCATGTGCCAACAAAAATTTACTCATAATTGACAAACGAGAGATTGCGTAAACGCTAAAAGCACTTGCAAAAAATGAGAAAATGATGATATGTGTTAGATTTGTGAACAATTTATTATCCATTTTTTCCTTTTAAAAATCATTTTTTATTCCCTTTAAATGAGAGTGATCAGAACACATTTTTTTAGGATTGCACCTCGATTTTAAAACATTGAATAATTAATTTTCCGGTGGAAAATGCATGGAAAGCTATTTTTTCAGTTCAAAAATTACTCACAAAAAGACATCAGATAATTAATTATTGTTTTGGGCAAAAAAAAATCACATTTCATTCTTTTCAAACTATTCTAGCCATTTTTCAAATCAAAACTTTATTTTTTTAATGCTCATGTTAGGTCTGAAAACATGCGAATGATTTATTGCATTAGAATTTAGGACTTACGTAATTTCAAAGAATTATACCTTTCCTAAGACTCAATTTTTGACTCTTTTCAAGTTTTTCCAACAACAACTTCGCTACTTCTTTCGCTGTTCTGTACTGACTCCGCTCACAACCTGGTTCACCATGTATGCCAAGACCAAATTCCATCCGATCATTTTCCAACTCAAACATTGGGCCTCTCCCTGGTAAACTGCACGCTGAAAGACTCACGCCAATCGTGCCTAAAACTTCTTTGAAAAATGTATTGAAATTTGAGAAAAAATAATATATATTATTGTTTAAAAATGAAAATTTCAACAAATATCCAACACATGCAAGTTTCTTATTTTTCCAAAAGCAATTAATTAAGCAGAACTCAGAACACTGGCGAATAAAAAA